TTAGGTAATATTTAGCATTTTCTATAAAGTAGAACGTTTCCAACACTTACTTTTTTAAAGAGCAATAGGATCTAAACCTTTTCTACTTCATATAAATTTTATTCTACATATATTTTTTAACAACTTATGTATAGTTCTGNCAATATTTTCTATTCATGCAAAAATAAGAACGTAAGGATAATATGTTGCATATTTAGGTAATATTTAGCATTTTCTATAAAGTAGAACGTTTCCAACACTTACTTTTTTAAAGAGCAATAGGATCTAAACCTTTTCTACTTCATATAAATTTTATTCTACATATATTTTTTAACAACTTATGTATAGTTCTGCATCCGCCAATTTCTACAGCCATACATCAAAAAATAACGAAGTTACTTTATTGCCGCATTGCTATGAAAGAGTTAATTTTTAACAGTAAGATTTGGCTAACTTTCAATTTTTTTACTGAAACCGGTGGTGAACACTCAAAAAACGGCCCCAAGAGGGCAAGAGGGGCATAACATGAATGAAAAAAAAACGGAATAAATTGAAGTCAAGCGGAGTAGAGGAGTAGATTTAAAATTTTTTCAAAAACCGAAGTAAATCAATCTCTTTATACCAAAAGTTGCATACATATGTATGTATCAGCATGGAAGCTTCTTCTACTATAATTTCCTCTATCTAAAATATAATATCCTAGCAACAATTTTATGCCATATTTCTTGCTCTTCCTCAAACTGCAATTCTGTTTTAATAATGATAACTCTTCTTTCTTTCCGTCTTTACAGATTCGACGTGACAGTGTCTGAGCTCTTTCAATTTGTAGTGTCAAGACACTTGGAAAGGCAACAACAAAACTCCAAAGAGCACTTCAAATACAGCCAAAAAAATGGATTATGAAAATCAAACGTGACTTTCGCCCTGAAAACGAAATCCAATCCTTTTTATTCTAGCACCACACTTAAGACAGAAACAACTTCTGGCTAAAATAATTCAAATCCTAGTCCTTTTTAACAACAACTGCAACAAATCACCCTCTAGCCTCACATTTCCGCTTCTCTTTTGAATTTTCTTACGAGCGGAATGTTTTTTGTCGTCGGCTGAAATACAACACATAACAACTAGCACAGCTGCGCCGCAACACTTTAACGGTAACTGGAGGCGCGAACCTTGGCCACTTCAAGAACATCACATCAACAGCGAAGCGAAAAACATAAGCACAGCAGAAGTGGCATAGCGCTACAGCATAAATAAAACCAAGGAAAAATCCCATAAAGCGGCAAAAATGTGCGTTAGCAAGCAACCGTGGACGCTGATTGTCGGCTGCGCCTTGCTGTGCCCCACACTGCTCCTTTCGGGCACATATTCGACTCCCATTGCAGCAAGACGTGGCCACCAGCCAACGCCTTGCGCCCACGACAGCATCGCCGCCCTGATCAAAAAGAGTCCGATAATACTGAAGGCTCTGGGTGCACATATCTTCACCGACGACGCCCGCGCTGTTGATTTACTCGGCGCAGGCGCTGTCAATGACCAGCTGAAATGGCAGAACGCGCAAAATAATTTCTTCGCATCAGGAACACTGCACTCGGCCGCTGGACCAACGGCAGCCACCGCTGCAGCAAGACAACGACAACAACAGCGAGTTTTGCAGTTTCAGCAAAAGCAACAGCCGTTGACAACTGCGGAAAGACGACACAGTGACAGTGACGACGGCACACCGGCCAGCTCTGCTTCTGTGACGACAGCACACTCAGCTACAGCGGCAAACTCGGCCAAAGCTTTGGACGAGTCCATTTTAATAACATTAACACCGGAAACGATATACAAAGGCGCGTCACTTTTGAAAATGACACCCGGGACGGAGAACGCTGCACGGAGCAGTGGTGGTGGCGGCGGCGGTGGCGTAGGTGGCTATGGAAGAGGCGATGGCAGCGGCACGGGACACAATGGCAGCTATGGGAATGGAAGCGGTGGCAGCGCAACGCCCGAGTCCGCATATCAGTATGAAGGGTAGGTAAAGTGGAATATTTAGTTATGTTGAAATCTGTCCTGTGCCTTGCAACTTTGTGCAACTGCTTGACGTACGGACGGTGCTCAGAAGACTGACAGCTGGCATAGTTGCTGACAAGGCGAATCGCTCGTGCGCCTATTGGTTTGTGTGCGGTTGCGTGTTTGTGTGTGAATTGGAATGGAGAAAAGTGACAATTTAATTTAAAAGAGGTTAACAATTTGCAAACTTCGTCAACTATGTATGTGTAGCCGGCAAGCGCGCATGCATTGTACATAAATACACAATGTACATACAAACATAGCAGCAGTTATGGGAATGATTGTGTGTGTGTGTCAGTAGTTTTTGTGCAGCAAGTTACAAGTGCAATTAAAAAGCACTTTTCCTTTTCTGAACCAGCTGTGCGAAGCTGACCAAACAAATGCTCCACCACACGCAGTGTATTTATGCTACATATTTCAACACTTCAACATAATTAATTGCGTAAAAGGGAAACACGCCTCATTGGAGTGCCTTTCTCGCCTACTTTCCGCAATCAACATTTACAAATTAACCATAAAACATCGCATTTCCTGCAAATGAGCCGATAACACGGTGCTACAAAAAAAAAGTCATGAAATACACCCGAAACAAAACCTAGTGTAGGTTGTAGGTATGGTCGAGTACAACATGGAAATAGGTACCGTATAGTTCCTTAACCCTCCATTTTGTGTATGCCAAAAACCCGTTATAGCTTGACTATTTTCTTTCCGATTTTAAAAATCGAACAAGTTTTGAAGGGAGGATTATTAGACCTTTCAAACGATGTATATATAATAATAGCCCTGCAAAAATTTGAGGACCAGGTGGTCCACTGGGACGTAGTTTTAAAGGACCAGGTTGCGTACTAGTAACTTGTTATGCTGACCTGGACCACTTCAAACGTAAAAAACTGATATATGTGTTGAACACCACCTCTTCTTGGCCCATCGGCACGACGCATTTTTTGAGAAAATTAATTTTTAATAATAGATTTTGCTATTTAAATTTAAAAATCACCTTGAAAAATTATCAAATATTCAGTTTATACAAAATCTTATGAAATTCAGTGCGTAGTGCCATGTTAATGCGTTGGACCAGAGGTGGCCAGGTTCAATGACATCGTAATGTTAATATAACCGCATTTTCTCCATATGTTTTGACCATTTTGGTTACTAGTATTGGTTACAATGTAGTGTGGTCCTATACTAGTGTTTAACCAAGTGCCACTTTTTTCAGAGTTGTTAGACTTAGGTTGTTGGGAGTTTTCATCGGTTTAATTTTAATGAGCCCCTATTTTTCTTCATTTTCGAACTTTGATCATCGATAATTTCAAAAATGTCTATGCAACTTTCCAAATATGTGGCATTTATCTAAAATAACATTTATTTGTGAATAAATTGATACCACATCCAATGCAATTGCGTAAAAATTGTCGGCCTTGAATTTATATGTGTGTATGTGCCAGACGTGCAGATTTTTTGAGCAGTGTGGTTAAAGGGATCATCAATATTTACATACTCAAAATTGTTATATAAATATGCGTATCTCAAAAACTACTTGACCGATCTCGACCAAATTTGATATACACATTGAGCCTGGTCTCCTTAAGCACCGCGAGACGCATCGCCTATCGCATCGCTTTAATGTGCACCATGCCTAAAAAGCACTAATATAGGCGCATGAGAAGTTTATTAAAGACCGGCGGGTAAAGGAATTTTTTCATACCGTTTTAAAAAATTTGGATTGAGGAAAATAAAGTTTCGTTTTTAGTATAATGCCAAAAACTTCGTTCAAACAGAATTAATCGTATTCAGATTTCACTTAAAGTGTGCCACTGAAAAAGTGCTATTTTCCCTGCAAGGCCTACAGACAAGCAGATACATGCAGAAAGGCATAATCATGCAAACGTGCCCTGTGGGAAAAGTAGTAATGCATTACATGTGTGATAAATATTGTAATGCTTTTCTTACAGGTTTAAGATTCTATTACTGATTAATATGTAATCAACATTCTAATGTATGAAACAAGTTCCAAAAAAATGTATGTTAAATCGCATACATTCCTCAATTACTAGGTAAGGCTTTTCATAGGACATCGTCATAAGGAAAAAAAATGCATTTTCGAATTTGAAAACGGGTTTTTACTGATTATTTTTTCGATTAGCATACATTACATTTTCCCACTGGGTATACATGTACGTTTGTGCTGAGCATCAACAATGCCGATTGCGTGCCTAGAGGCCGCATAACATTGTTTTTAAGTATAATGAATTAATTACATTTAATCAACGCAATTAACGATGCACTTCTGCTGTGTTGTGTGCTTGTATGTATGTATGTACTTGTATGCCTGTGTAAACCTGATTAATCCATACATTCGTATGTACATACATACATATGTATGTACACATATCAGCATGAGCTTCCGACTTCGCCAAAAGTCAGCATTATTTATGACATTTCGCATTTAATTGCAATTGAGTGTAAAATAGCACTCGAACACATATGTATGTATGTACACACTTATATAGTATATTCATACATATGTACAGTCAGTATCAATTGTTAGTGTACACATTTTTCTAATGTAATGCTGACTACACACGAGGCAACCGTTGAGACAACCAAGGCATGTTGCTTCGACCGTTGCCTTGTCTGTAGGAATGTTGCTCATAGAAATTCGTGTTGCGCAACCGTTGCCAGAAAATTAAAATATTTTGATAATTTGTATTGGTTGCCGTGTCGGTTGCCTCATGTGTATCGTTGTGTATTGAATTTATTGAAAACAAGTGAGCTGAAAAGGTGTTTTGGTAGAAAACAAATTTTCTTCCGCATGTTTATTTCATAACAGGGCAAATACTTGCGGTTGCCTCGTGCAGTATTAACCAAGAACATCAGGTTGCCTCATCGCTTTGCTTCAACGGTTGCCACGTGTGTAGTCAGCATAATATTCACAATTATTTTCATGAAATCTTTTTTCATTAATTACACGGGTTTACATATTGAACCACACCTTTATATCCCTATGTTATTAGGCTCCATCACGTCAAGTTCGAGGTCATTTGAAGGTCATGTAGGGAAAAATTAATTGAATAAACCTGAAAATTCAATGCAATTCTTCTGAATTCGACCTTGCGATGCCACCGGCATGACCTCTAGATGACCTTGAGGAATCAAGGGACCCTCATATTCGGATTCAGCGAGAAAAAAAATAAAATATTCAATAAATTGTTTGTCCTATTTGACCCTCCAATGACCTCGAACATGACATAATGGAGGTTAACGGACTTCGGATTCGGCTTTAGCCAGTCGAAAAACCCTTATATATGAATTTTCAACTTTATCAATTGGATTTTTCTCTACTTGACTTTCAAA